GCCCTTATTTTGAGCAAACTTGGCGCAAAAACAACATTGTTTTCAAATTTTTCTGGTCACTTCAAATACGCACGTGCGTATATGCGTAGAGAACGCTACGCGCCTGGAATGTGAGATTTTATTCAATCCTGCAATTCTATCGTTTGTCTAACACCCCATTACTATGATTCAGCACGAAGATTAAACCACAATGATACGATATCGCGATATTAAAGTCTACAATTTGTTTCTAACCTCCTCCACTTAACCCAGTGTGCTGTTTGATCCAAGCTCGGTACTGGGTCACCCGGGCAAACACAGTAAAAAGTTGTTTAGCATCGCATCTGGAAGAACCCCAGCTTACTGCACCGTGCAAGGTGTATGTCCCATCCCCATTCAAGCAGACATACGGGCCTCCACTGTCACCATGGCAACCACTTAAAATGGAATTTTCCACGCCGGCACACAACATTTGCCGAGTCAACTGTATTGAAACTACAAAATATAAATACATAATTGTAAGGCATGAATAATATAAAATAACGAATTTTCCTTTTGAAGGGTATTCAAAAATGCTTTAGATTATATCAACACGCAAAAAAAGTTGGTTCAAAATGCTGATTTTTGTGACAGAAGGGATTCAAATTTATGTAGAAGTCGACTCAATTAATTGAATGAGTTCACCAAAGAATAGTGGACTATGGGATTGTATGTTTTCAGGAATTTTACTATGGCAGTGGCCATAATTGGTTCGATAAAGAAGAGAAGTACGGTTATAGCGAAGCATTTCTTCATATGAGCTACTCTGATTGTATTTTGGAAAAAAATATCAATGGATTCGAGTTAGAGAAGTTTAAGATGTTTTTTAGAACAAAGTAGAGAGGAATCCAAATCAACGACGATAAAAATACAACTCATACTCGGTGATCCATCTATAATCCAACATTTTAGTCTTGTTCGGTTTGTTAAAAAAATGATTCATGAAAATGTGCCACGTCGTATTGTCCTAGCATGCAGGCCAGATTAAGTCTATAATGTCTGCTTCGTTCTTTTTCTCAGAATTGCTAGACACTGATCACAAACGAGAAAATTTGTCGTTTTGATAAATATTGTGGATAAATTTTGCAGACAAACCTAAGGACAGGGTGAGTATGCAAAGAGCTGACAATATTATGCTTATAAAATTCCACAATATAGACTTTTTGATGCACCTCCACTTGCTTGAATCTTCTGCCGACACTTTGCTGGATCAATAGGCGGTATCATGGCTTGCTGTAAAATAGGATGAGAAGCTCCAGGATGTCTAATCTTTCCCCAGCCTATCAAAGTAGAATGTTCATTACATTATATTTACGTCAATAGCATTATATGACAGTTTCAGAAGTCTCAACTGTACATGTTCTTATCTGTTGATTTACAAAGTCGGTAAACGAAAGGAAAAGCACAGCAAAAGAACTGCCGTATAAGGAGAACCACGATTATAGTGAAACAAAGATGCTTGCAAATTGAGGAAACATCCGGCTCTGTTATCGCTTAAGCGGTGCTTTCTGACGGAAACTCCTACGGAAATGTTAAGCTCAGTATAGCATAATGCAGAACTAGATACCTTGGATGACTTTTCGCTAATAAAGACACCTAAAAGATATATACATCCCTTTTGAGAACATCGTGGCAAGGTAAGTCAATATACAGCTTACTTAACTAGCCACAAGTTGTAAGAATGGTTCTCTTCAAAAGTCGTGGTGGGCCAGCAAAACTTTCCTCGTAACTCGTGAATTATTGCTTTACAAAGAAAGAGTTGAAGGCATTTCAATCATCGCATGGGATTCGCATAGTCTACATATCAAAAAAAAGCTGGCTTCTCATGACTATCCTCACCTGTAATGAAGCATTTTGATCCTGTAGGTACACCTTAGTCGTAAGATGGCAGGCACACATGCACAGGGCATTTTCATTGCATGGGATTCTCGTGGTAAACATTAAAGTGCTACTGAAACGAAATTTTCGTATCTGAAATATTTGCTCTAACCTGTAGTTTTGAATACGCTGATCATCGTGAGATAATTTGCTTTGGCCAAAAAGAAGCGAAAGATATCTTTTTTAACCGTTCAAATCAAAAATTTTACACAAAA